GGAGATTCCCCCCAAATTAGAGGCCAACTGAGGCCACATAGTGAGGTTCAAGGCCAGCCTGGACTATGCAGCAAGATGCTATATCAAAAACATTTAAAAAAAAAATCCTAGGTGGGTCCTAATGTGGCATCACCCTTAGCAGAAATCCCTTGGAACAACTGTGAGAGTTACAATGATCAATATTTGTATCACACTTTAGGAAGTGCAAAGTGGTTTGCATTTATCTCTTTGTAAAAAGCTTTCAGGGGTTCTACGAGAGCAGGGGTGGACTCGTCACAGTAGCTAAGGTATGGAATTAGCCTTGGCATCCACTGATAGAGGGAGGGATAAAGACAATGTGGGGCGTCTATGTGATGGAATATTACAGACTGCAGTCTTGTCTTTGGCAGCAACATAGATGAGAAGGAGGCCATTATGTTGAGTGGAAGAAGTCAGGTGCAGAAAGACAGTTGTCCCATGTTCTCACGTTGATCTCCTGGTGCTGGAGAGCAGAATCGCGGTCACCAGGGCCCAGGAAGGGTGTGAGGGAGGGAGGTTGCAGGAGGACGGTTAATGGGTCCAGAGGGCAGATGGGTAGGAGGAATAATTCTAAGCTTCTGTGGCACAGCAGGGGAACCCAGGAATTGAACTCAGGACCTTGCGCTGGCCAGGCAGGCACTGTGTTGCTGAGCTGTCTCCCCAGCCCTGAATACACGAAACGAAATGTCACACTGTGCTGCGGAAATATGTACAGCTATGTCCATTAATACAGACACATGGAAAAAAGAACGGCTGTCAGATCATCCCTCTCATTTTTAATTTTTTTATATACTTAAGGTGTAGAACCTAATGTTTTAATACACACACAGTGATTTCTATGGTCAAGCAAATGGCCACGCCTGCTCTTTTATCTGGCTCCTTTTTTCCTCCCTCACTTCCTTCCTTTTTCTTTCCTTTTGTGGTCGAAATTCAGTCCTAAATTCAGTCTCTCCGCACATTTCCAGCTGGTGCCCGGAGCTGCCGTGCCCAGGCTGTGTGTTGGCCTCTCATCCCGCCTGCTCCGCATCCTGTCTGCAGTTTGGTTCCTGTGCCGCTCCTTCCGTTCCCCCACTGCATCCTGCCCCTCCCTACCGCGATGCCTTTCGTTCCTTAGTTTCTGGCCCCCACCTCAGCAGGAGATGTGCAGTGTCCTTCTGTGCCTGGACCCTGTCACTGCCCAGGGCGTCCTCAGGGCCCACCATGTGGTCTGGGTTCAGCCTCATGTTTTTCTGAGGAGGAAGCTGGATATCAGGGAAGATGAGGTCCTCGCTTCAGTCGAGGCCAACTTGCAGAGACTTGCTCTTCCTCTGGGTGGTCCTGGAAGGCCATGAACTTGGGGCAGCGACATTGCCTGGCTCACGTGTTTCTGGACTCCCAGCCTGAAGGTGTCCTTGAGAAACAGTTTCCACCTCTGGCAAGGGAAAGGAACCATTTCCAAATTCTTTCTCCAAGCCATGCCCTGTGTGTGCATGGCTGACTTGGTGACATGCTGGCGGCTTGAAGATGTCTCCAGGGAGCAGGCATGTCCCAGCGTGGTGACGCTGGCAGGCAGGACTGGCCAGAGGGTGTGGGGGTGGGGGCAGGGCACAGGGAGCTCAGCGTGAGACGGAGGCCTGGGTCAGGAGTTCTCCAGGGACCTCCTTGCAGGCTGAAAGTTACAGGCTGAATCTCACCCTGGCAAATGGAACCCTCACCCCGGGGCCTCAGATGGGCCTGGAGCTGGGGACAGGACCTTCTGGAAGAGAGCTGGGAGAAAGTGAGGGTGTGAGTGTGGGCCCCGATCCAGCAAGCCTGCTGTCCTCATGAGAGTGGAGGTCAGGACCCAGGCACACACAGAGGGACGACATGTGGGGACACAGGCGAGGTCACTGTGCACCCGCCAAGGAGAGAGGTCTCAGAGGAACCAGCCCTGCCAGCACCTTCGTGTAGGACCTGCGGCCTCCAGCGCTGTGGGATCAACTCCTGCTTTGTTTGCTTCTTTGTCATAGCAGCCCAGGAGCCGGCCCCATTCCAGGGCCAGAGCCTGCAGACATTGCAATGCCAATCTTACGGTCGTGCCAGTGACAGTGTGAAAAGCCATGGTGAGGTCAGGAAGACTCCATCCATTCATCCGTCCATCCCATCCTCAGATACCAGTCAGACTTTGTTCCCAGCGCTGGGAGTGTGAGCCTGTGTAAGGTCAGATGAGGACAGTTACTGCAGCAATGGGACAGTGTAGCTTGGGGCACAGGGCACAGGGTGTGGGATACAGGTGAAGATGCTCAGGGAAGACACCCAAGGAGATACCCCACCAGCTTTGGTGTCTGTGGGGAAGTGTCACCAGCTGGCAGTGAAGGGAAGATGGGGCACAGGTCAGAGCACTGAAAGGGGGTATAGTGGGTAATGCAGTCCTGAGGTGGTGGGGGACGGTTGTGGGAGAGGGGAGGCAGGGAGGCCTGGACCTCAGTCAGCTGGCCCAGCTCTGCTCCGAGTGGACTGGCAGTGGCATGGAGGCGAGTCCCTGCGCCTCCCTGCTCTGGCTGTCACAACACCACTTCCTGGACAGGTGAAGCTGACAGGAGCTAGAACAGGGAATGTGCAGGGCTTAGGACTTGGCTTGCAACAAGGATTGGTTCAGGCCAACGGTCACAGAGGGGCTTGGGCCTCATCCTGAGGGCTCCAGGGAGCCTTTGAAGGCTTTAGGGAGAGGAAAGACCTGGACAGGTGACTTTGCAAAGTGTTATTCCATTTGGCGGATTGAGTATCTTCATCTTTCTCACTGAAGGCATTTCATAAGTTAATCATTCAGTCATTCTGTGTCTATTGGACACATCCCTGTGCTGGACAGCATGACTGGAGAATGGAAGAAGCTTGATTCATTAAGTAATTATTGGGTTTTGGGAAAAGGTTCTTGTTATAGTTCGGGCTGGCCTAAATTCTGGGTACCAGAGGCTGGCCTGGAACTCACCCAGGTCCTCCTGCCTCAGACTTCTGAGTGCTGGGATGAAAATATACTTAAACATGTGTTCTAAGTTGTAGTAGATGCTCATCCTATCTACGCTCTCAGCCATTCTAGATGCGTGGTCCAGCGCAGCTAAGTGCGGTCACTCGCGGGGACCGTGACCGCCGCCATTCTCAGAGCTTCTGTCTCCCTGGGCTGACTCGCTGCCCCATCAGACGCCAAGGTCCGCCCGCCCCGGCCCTGGCACCTGCTCTGCTTTCTGCCTCCCTCAGCGAATGGCCCAGGCTGCTCCCGCAGGTGCAGCCCTGCGTTCGTGCCCCTTGCTGACCGCGGCACAGCGTCCTCTGCGTCCGCCTCGCCACGTGGCAGCTTACGTCGGAACCGTGTCCTCTGTGCAGGTCTTCCACTCAACCTGCGTCTGTCGGGGGCACAGAGCTGATGCCCCGGGGGAGAGGGCAGGCGCCCAGAGCGCATCGTCATTGCTTCTCCATCCCCCTCTGTCCTCCCTCCTCCTTCCGTCTCTTGGTCTCTTCCCATCTGCGAATGGCCTCTTTCCTTCCTTCCTTCCTTCCTTCCTTCCTTCCTTCCTTCCTTCCTTCCTTCCTTCCTTCCGTCCACCTCTTACTGCACTCTGAATTCATACGCTGGGCTTCTCTTGCTACAGAAGCCTGTGGCGGTTCAGCTCCCGTGTCTGGTTCCTTTCACTGAGCACTGCATCTTGAGGCGCATCCATTTCCCTATAAGTCACCCCAGTTTATCATTATCATTATTATTATTATT